TTATTTTTGAGAGACTGAGAGTGTATGAATGGTGGGGGGGGAGGAGGGAGAAGGCAGAGGGAGAGAATCTGAAGCTGACTCTGAGCTGAGCACAGAGCCACCAACTTGGGGCTCAATCTCAGGACTCTGAGATCATGACCTGAGCTGAAATCAAGAGTTGAACGCTCAACCGACTGAGCCACTTATGTGCCCCTATTTTCTTTTTAATAACCACATTTTTAAGTTAACCAGGAGTTTGAAGTCTGATATTTCTGTTAACAATACCTTCCGGCCTACAGATATTTGTAAACGGATATAAACCATTCCAGAATAAAGATGATTTACCTTTCTCACACTATACATCCATTCATAATATAAGTTGCACCCCCTAAAGCCATTGTTCAGGAGGCAAATGTTTTGTTCCTAGAAATTATTAAATGAGGGGCGCCTGGGTGGCTCAGTTGGTTAAGCGACTGCCTTCGGCTCAGGTCATGATCCTGGAGTCCCGGGATCGAGTCCCGCATCAGGCTCCCTGCTCGGCAGAGAGTCTGCTTCTCCCTCTGACCCTCCTCCCTCTCATGCTCTCTGTCTCTCATTCTCTCTCTCTCAAATAAATAAATAAAATCTTTAAAAAAAAAAAAGAAATTATTAAATGAATGAGCTACATCATCTGAAATAATAGTATAATCAGTCAGCCATTGCATGCAGATGTAGGAAAGTTTTTTCCTGAAAATTACCATTGTCTGCCAAGTGTGTGCAGCTTTTTTATTAATTGCATTTTAGTAACATTATAAAGCTGTTTGATTTACAGTGTAAACTACTCCACATTTTCTCTTAGCATTCTGACTTTCCAGTGTACCATTCTATCATAAACCTTCCACACAATACATCATCCATTCCCCCAACCAGATGTGTTCTCCCTCCAGCTATATTTAAATAAGAAAGAAATGTCTAAGTAATTAAACGATTAGTATATCATAGGTTAAGAGACACACTAGGCATCACTGTAGACCAAATACAATACAGGTGTCATTTTACTGTGGCAGTTGGATTTCAAAAAAAAACAAAAACTAGATTTGTTTAATAAGATGGAACTTTCAAAATCTCTAAGCAGCTGATTCGTTTTCCGGCAGTCTTCATGTAAAGCTGACCTTCCTATTCTGTGTTTTAGGATATTATCAACTCAATGGTAGCAGCAGTGTTCATGATAATCGTGTCCGTGTTAGCACTGTTACCAGAAACCACAACATTTATAGTCCTTGGAGGGGTAAGTGGAGGTCTTTCTGATTTCTTGCTTTAGGTTTCATTAGTATTCACATTTACCTGAAAAACAGATTATAAGAACAGAAATCTACCCTGTATTCATCCCTGGGTTTCCTAGGCCAGTGTATGGTCCCTAGTGGCTTAATATTCTTTTGTGTGAGTACATGTCCTGAGTAATCTGAAGGAATATGATTTCACCCTAAAACAGAAGTTAACCAAAGAATAGTTCCTCTATGTTCCACATCAACATGTAGAGCGAGACTAGACTGAGAAAAACTACTGGAATCTGTTAAACTTAGCTCCGAGATGCCTGATGTCAAGCAAAAGACCATGGATGAGTTTCATAGCTCTCCCTTTTAAAGAAAAGGATACATACCACTTGTTAAAGTGAGACAGATTGCTCTGAACTCAGTTATTCTTTGTCCAGAGCTTTCTTCAGATAGAAGATAATACAAGATGTCTCGTGATAAGGTTGTAGGAAACCTTATAAGTAAAAGATTTGTTTTGAACATTGCTTGAAGGGAAGCAAGCCAGTTCAATCAGAATTTATCCTGGAAGGCAAGCCAAAATAAACAAGAGTCAAATAATTGAATTTTAGTTCCATCTGATTCTCTTCTGAGATTTCTTACAGGAGGTTCAAAATCATTTGGCTTTTCTAGATTCTTTTTTTTTTTTTAAGATTTTATTTATTTATTTGAGAGAGACAATGAGATAGAGAGAGCATGAGGGGGGGAGGGTCAGAGGGAGAAGCAGACTCCCTGCTGAGCAGGGAGCCCCATGCGGGACTCGATCATGGGACTCCAGGATCATGACCTGAGCCGAAGGCAGTCGCTTAACCAACTGAGCCACCCAGGTGCCCTGGCTTTTCTAGATTCTGACCTAGAGATGTGAATCAGAAAGATCTTAAATAAATCTCCCTCCTACTTCCTCGTCTTTCCATAGTATGGGCCACTTAGGAGAACTAACCATTCTCAGACAGTCATGTATGTCACAATCCATGGTTTTTCATCTCCTTACTAAGCCCCAAGCAACTTCATGGGGGATGAGAATTATTCTAGAAATAAGATAGTGCTGTAACAGCAGTTTCCCCCAGTTATCTTTAAAGATAATCTTATCCCGGGACTCCTGGGTGGCTCAGTCAGTTAAGCATCCGACTCTTGGTTTCGGCTCATGTAATGATCTCAGGGTCCTGGGATGAAGCCTTATGTCAGGCTCTGCACTCAGCAGGGAGTCTGCTTGAGGAGTCTCTCGCTCTCCCTCTACCCCTCCCCCTCAAAATAAATATTTTTTTTAAACTTATAAACAAAAAAATAATAATCTTATCCCTCTACTATGGAGAAAGAGGGACAAGGCATAGGATTTACAGTTGACCCTTGAACAACATCAACTCCCCACACAGCTGAAACTTTTTAAACTCTGACTTCCCAAAAACTTAACTACTAGTAGCCTACTATTGACAAGAAGCACCAAAAACATAAACAGTTAACACATGTTTTCTATATCATATGTATTATATACTGTATCTTACGATAAAGTAAGCTAGAGAAAAGAAAATGTTATTAGGAAAATCATAAGGAGGAGAAAATACATTTATAGTACTGTACTACTAAATTTATCGAAAAAAATCCATGTGTTAAGTGGACCTATGCAGTTCAAACCCATGTTGTTCAAAAGTCAGTGGTGCTTTTATTCACTTACTCATTCATTCACTGATTCATTGTTTACAAAGGTGCACTTTAGCAGATGCTGACAAAGTATAGAGTTGTGCTGTCCCATGCAGTAGTCATTAGTACATGTGGCTATTGAGCACTGGAAATGTGGCTGGTCTGATTGAGATGAGCTATACACGTAAAATACACACTGGATTTCAAAGACTTACCAAAAAATGTATATTATTTCATAATAACTTTATTATATTGATAACAAATTAAAATTATATTTTGGATATACTAGGTTAAACAAAGTATGTTATTAAAATTAATTTCACTTGTTTTTTTCTTTTTAACGTGGCTATTAGAAAAAACTATGTGGCTTACATTGGTGACTCACATTCTATTTCTTTTGGACAGCACTGGACTAGAACGTGAGTCTACCCTAACCTCAGATTGCTTAGAGCCTAATACAGGGAAGAGAAATGTAAACAGCTGTATATAAGCTATTGACAGAGTACTACAGGGCACAGAAAAGAGGAAGCAACTACCTCGCTCTGGCAGTGGAAACTCAGCTTGCCAGGAATAAAGGGGAGATGAGGGGGATGGTTCCAGGTAGAGGAACCAGCAACATGCAGAGTACCAGAGTCTTGGAAGGATAGGTAGGAAGTACTCAGTGTGGTCAGAACCTAAGAAGCTGAGTTTGAGATTCAGGATGGAAAATGGAGTGGTTTCTAGAGCCAAGAGGCTAGACTTCCTGGCCATTGGACGGAAATCACCAAATAGCATGCAAGGAATGATATCCCTCTTTTCCAGCCCAGGCACCAGCTCTCAAATAGCCATCAGAGTACCTAAAGACCAAGTTCTAGTTTATTCCCTTTACCTTATTTTTTTTTCCCTGAGACCTATTTAGAATCCCACCCTTTAAGTGGATGTAGCCCCAGCCTTTAAGAGTTCACTTTGGATCATCTTACCACTCCAGTTCTCTAAAGTGTTTATCACAGCTACTGTTGCTTTGGTTTAATCTTGAGCTGCTGTTAACTTTGGCCCTCCAGTAGAGTTTGTAGTAAGAAAGGCAGTTGAACATTGCGGTAGGAACGTTGATTGATAACTAAGTATCTTCTGTAGGGCTTTAAATCATACATGGGGGGAGCAAGTCAAGAGATCCAGGCAAGTATTTGAGAGCCCACACCACTTCAATATTATTTCTGCTCACCTAAGTTATCTTTGCCCTTTTTCTAGGCAGGTATTGGGAAAACTTGGGAATGAGAATGAAATGATCTCTGAAGTCTCTTCCCATTTTAGTATTAGGTGGAAGCGGCCCTGGCAGGAGAGGAAGCCAGTGGGTAGACCACTTAAAACCTGTGTGAGTGACCGAACTCCAGACCGTGGCCACCACAGTGACAAAGTGTGTTTGTTTCCAGGTGTTTGGACTCCTGACAGCAGTGTGCTGTATTGCCGACGGGGTCCTTATTTACCGGAAGCTTCTATTTAATCCAAGTGGTCCTTATCAGAAACGCGCTATTCATGACAAAATTTAAGTTTTGTAATTTTATATTACTTTTTAGTTGATGCTAAGTATTAAATATATTAAATATATTTATTCCTCCCCATGCTTCCTGTAGTTGTTCTCATTTTAATCTCAATATGGGAACTGGAAGAAGAGATGTGGGAACTCTGTGCCCAGCGCTCCCATATGGTCATTTCCAAGTCAGCCCTGATCCTGATCTGATTGGGTTTTCCTCATCCTGGGCCTGGGTGGCAGAGAAGAATGCACCTGGCCCGCCCTAAATGGTCTCCAGAGAGTCCCCTTCCTAGCTGGCTGGCAGCACGGAGGGGTGGAGTTGCAGGGATAATGAGTTCCCAGGCTAGGCAGGGGCATCTCATCCCAAATGGCGACAAGGGTGCCTGGAGGGCCTGTTTGTCCGTGGGCAGCGAGAGCTGGGTGCGCGCGAGGGACAGGAGGCCGGCAGCCGTTGGGGCACGCCGCTGGTTCCCAGGGTCCAGCCTGCCGGCGGCGGCAACCTCAAAACGGCAGGGCCAGCCCGAGGCAGCCAGGCCCCGGGGCCCACCACGGATGCCAAAACCACCAGGACCCCCACAGAGAGCATGGAACAGCAGCAGCGTCCCGCACGCCCAGGGGCTGCCGCAGCTGCGGGGACAGCCTCCCGCTCAGGGCCGTCCGCGCAACCCAGGAACGTAGCACCCAGTGCGCCGCAAGGTGCAACCTCAAGGACACCCACCCAGGCGCCCAAGAGCGAATCGGAGAAGGCCGCCATCCAAAAGCGTGCTGAAGGACGGGCCCTAGTCCCGCCCCACTTCAGGGACAGCTTCAAGCATTTTTTCTTCTCGCCCACGGGAATGTTGAAGATCTTCAGGCTGGTGAGCAGAGAGAGCTGGTGATGCAGGGTGGGTGCGGCCTCGGGGAGTGAGTCCCGGGGGGCGCCAACTCCCCAAAGCTTCCCGACTTCCCTACTTCCCTTTGCCAGCCAGTTTGTTCTGCCTCATCTTCCCTCCCTTCTCACCTTGCTCCTCCCCACACTCAACCGTTATTACTAAACCAGCACTGTTGTTCCTGTCTTACTTTGTATTTCTCAGGTTTTCCCTCACAAAGGGAATTAGGGAAGCAGTGAAGAGCAGAAATGTGTAAGTTAGCAAACAAAAATAATTGAATTGACCAAAATTGATAAACCAATGGCTAATATAATAGGGGGAAAAAGGGGGAAAAGAGAACATATATTTAGACACCAGACAGGGAAAATAATCACAAAGGATGAAGAAACTGAGGATCCCCAAGAGTACTTTACAAAACAAATAAACCTAACTGAAAGAAATAGTTTATTTTCTAGGAAAATATAATTACCAGAACTAACCCCAGAATGGAGAAAAACCTAACCAGACCAATGTAAACACAGAAGAAAATGAGAACTAATCAAATGAGTATCTTTCAAAAATTTATCAGGGCCAGACTTTTTTACACATTAACTCTTTCAAACTTCCATGGGATGTAATTCTGATACTATTGAAACTTTTTCAAAGAATGGAGAAAGAAGCAGCCCTTCTGAATTATTTTTTCAAAGTAGTATACCACTGATATCAAAACCTGACCAAGTCAGAAAAAGAAAATAGAAATCTCACTTGTATCAAAGCAACAAGTATTAATATATTAGCAGAAAATATTCAGTACTTTTTAAAAAATACACCATGATGATGCAGTATTAGGACTCTATTAAAATAACCAACAATAGGGCGCCTGAGTGCCTCAGTTGGTTAAGCGACTGCCTTTGGCTCAGGTCATGATCCTGGCTGGAGTCCCTGGATCAAGTTCTGCATTGGGCTCCCTGCTCGGCAAGGAGTCTGCTTCTCCCTCTGACCCTAACCCCTCTCATGTGCTCTCTCTCATTCTCTCTCTCTCAAATAAATAAAATCTTTAAAAAAAATAAAATAACCAAAAATATAGGTAAAAGGAGAACAAATTAGGAGACTATATCAAATAAGAAAAAGAATACATTTGACAAAATTCAACATTCATCTCTGATTGCAAAAAAAAGAGATCCATAAAATAGAAATACATAGATATTTTATCGACATTATAAAAATAAACCCCAAAGTCAGCATCATATATAATTAAGCATTAGAAGTATTCCCATTAAATGAGGAACAAAGAGGATGCGCTCATCAATACCATTATTCAGTATTTTTCTAGAACTGCTAATCATCACAATTAGGAAAAATAAGTAACAGTTGAAAAGATGAGGCAAAATATATCATTTTTTCAGCTGATATCACTGCCTAAAAACTCAAAATCAACTGTGAAACAAGTTAGAACAAGATAATTTCTACTAACTCATTAGTAGAAATGAACAAACAAGCATTTAAAATAGAAGAAAATATTTCTCTTTACAACAGCAATCAAAATGGTAAACTAAGAATAAATGAAATAAATTTGAAAGACCTATATCAAGAAAACTCAAAAAACTCAGATATTTCAAAACTACTAAAAATAACTGGAAAGATATACTTTGTTCTTGAATAGTAAAAGTAAATCTTTTAATCTTTCAAAATTAGAAGCTAAATGAAATCCCAATTAAAATACCAACAGGCTGGGGCACCTGGGTGGCTCAGTCGGTTAAGCGTCTGCCTTCGGCTCAGGTCATGATCCCAGGGTCCTGGGATCGAGCCCCACATCGGGCCCCCTGCTCGGCAGGAAGCCTGCTCCCCCTGCTTGTGTTCCCTCTCTCGCTGTCTCTCTCTCTCTGTCAAATAAATAAATAAAATCTTTAAAAAATAAATCAATAAAATAAAATAAAAAGCCAACAGGCTTAGCTTGGGGAACTTGACCAAGATAAACATGGGAGAAACATACAATCTGAGGATGAGCACTGAAAGGGGGACTATGTCAGACAATAATATAAAATAAATTGCCTATAATTGCAAAAGTACTAGAGAAGAAATCAGCACCTCAATGGAAGAGGATAGTCTCAAAAGAAACCCAAATACACCTGAGAATTTAGTACATGATAAAGTTTGGATTTCAGATGAGCGGGGAAAATACTGGTGTTTCACAATAAATGATGTTGGGATAATCAGCACTGTTTAGAAAGAAAGAAAACTGGAGCTCTACCTCTTTCTATCAAAATCAGTATATATTTATTCTACTTGTATATACTTCTTTCCAGTATGAAATAAACATTGTGAACAGTAGTTACTTTTCAGGAGATAGACTAGTGTTGGGTTGAGGGAGAAGAAAGAGACTGGAGTTCTTTTTCTTTTTTTTTTTTTAAAGATTTTATTTATTTATGTGACAGAGACAGACAGAGCACAAGCAGGGGGAGCAGCAGAGGGAGAGGGAGAAGCAGGCTCTCCGCTGAGCAGGGAGCCCGATGCGGGGCTCGATCCCAGGACCCTGGGATCATAACCTGAGCCAAAGGCAGACACTTAACCGCTGAGCTACCCAGGTGCCCCAGACTGGAGTTATTTTTCATTCTTCTATACTTAATGTGCACTTTTATTATTTCCATGTATTATTTCATTTCTTCGAAATATGAGAAATTTTACAAATAAAATGTCTGTACAAAACAATACAGGCAAGTGCAATATAATCAGATTTACATTCTAACAGTTTATGGGTTTGCTTTGTTTTTTCCTAGCCCCTGTGCATTAAAATAAATCCTGTTTCTTTTATTGCAGGGTCTTCTCATAGGAGCATTAGTTTGTTTTGTCATTGCCAGAGCCAATGAGCCGTTTATAGCCATCACAGTTCTGGAAATCTGCATCGTTCTTTTTTTTATTCTAATATATATGCTAACCCTTCAGCACTTGCTGGTTAATTTAGATTGGCCCTTACTTGTAAGTGTTTATTTTCATAATTCAAATATAAGCTTTGCCCTCGGTCCCAGAGTAAAGTCTCTCCTCAAGTGAAAGCAAAAGCGCTATCTCTCTGGACAAGAACATAACTGAGCTGTGACAGGGGGTTGCCCTAGTCCTAGGGGAGAAACTAGCCTAACACCCAGGAAGATTCCTTGGACACTTCTGTCCATGGCACAACCAACACACACACCTGCTTCCATCTCATTATGGCACTGAACACATGGTACTTTGCAGCTTGTCCTAAAGAAAATTTCAGTTAGTATATTCAGTAGGTAAACACACTTCTCATCCATTGCTTGTAAAACAGCACATGCTTCTACTTTTCAAACAGCAGCTATTCTAACATTATAAACATTTCCTCCCCTGCATAAGCAAGAGTTGGCATGGCAAAGTTGTAGAAAATTGTCACCCACACCCTGAAAGATTGCAGGAGTCAATCTTTTCATGGATATTAAGGGTCCATACTCCCAAAGAGGTGCCACATGGTGGAGTATTCAAGAAAAGACATTGCATTGCCTTATTTAGTAGCTTTTTCCAGAACTTCATATTCTTTACCAACTGAAAAATTCCTGAAGCTAATCCCTCAGGTCTCAGAGAAATCCTATTTATTGTGGAGCCTGAGGTTCTGTATCCTTGCAGACTGGAGAACTACTGCTCTGTCCAGATACAGACATGGGCCCACTTCCTGGCCCTGGCACCTTCCTAGCTGTGTGAACTTTAGCCTCAGTTTCCCCATCTAGGAAATTCAGCAAAGGAAAAGGGTGATCATAATAACTACCTCATAGGGTTCCTACAACACTTAAATGTGTTTAAAGCAAATAGCACAATGCTCAGCACAAAGCAAAAGCAAACATTCACTTACCAAGTGTCCATCAGACCCCATAAAGTAGTTAGATGGCTTTTACCATTTTATCTTGCACTGTGAACAATCCTAACTCAGAGGTCAGGCCTCTCCCACATCCCACTTCCTTACAGTACCTTTTTCTAACCTTAAGGTAGGATTGGTTGCTATTGAGCTAAACTCAAAATACATTCTTGAAGCGTGTGAGGGATTTTCTAAAAAAGCTGCTGAGCTCTCTTTATCCCACAGAGTGCAGAGCAACAGGAAGCAGACAAAGCCAAGTATGAGCAAGTCTAATTGGACATATGGAAGACCCTCTTAGTTATGGAGAGCTATAAGGATAAAGAGGTTTCTGAGGGGAAACTAAAATCTCTGTCCGTGGAGATTTTCAAGGACGGAAGGTAAATGAACCGTTTTGCGCACACAGTATGTGCCAGATACTTTTTCATATGTGTTGCCTTATTTAATCCTCACAACAACCCAGTGTGGTTACAGTTTAGCAGATGAGAAGACCTGATGAAAGAGATGAAGTTGCTCATGGCCATAGGCAGTCACTTGGAAACTCAGGCCTGGCTCTAACCCAAACTCGTTCCAGACTTTTTGCCCTATTGCCTTACAATGGTTTCTCTGTCTCCATCCTCCCTTCATTGTTATCCTCCTCGGATTCTCTAAATTTTATGTTCTCTGTATCTTCTCCTGTCTCCTCGTGGTTTCCTTAAAATACAGAGCTAGAGATGAACAGATTAGCCTGGAGGGCGGGTACAGGTCCTTAGGGCAGGTGACTGAGGGCACCACAGCACCAAGGTCAGCTGTGGACTAGAGCCCTCTGAGGAAGGGTCCACTGCTATAAAGCTGGAGGGCTGGATGGAGCCTCAAGGCACCATGCTTTGATGTAGGGTCCGGGGAGAATATCTAGGAAGTGTCTCAGACAAAGGCAAGAACTGGGGGCTCCTAAGAATGAACCAGAAAGGTCCTATGAGAGGAACTGTTCTCACAGTGGTCACAGACAGCTCAGGCCAACTTTTGTAGAATTGCAGGCCTTCGGTCAACTCTGATAAAGCCAGGCCCCCTTTAGCTACCTGTATCCTTGGGTCAGAGCATTCTCTTCCCTTTGGATGACTATAGGAGCCCCAAAGCGTGATTCACATGGACGTGCCTGCTGAGCTCCCAGGAGCTCCACAGTTGGAAAACTATGAAGGTTGCTCAGTTATTCTGAGGCACAACTGACTAGCAGCACATATAACCAAGCAGCCACATACTAACCAACACAGTTGGTCAGATGGTGTGTGATCTAATGGATTTGGAAGGTTTTTTAAAAGACCCATCAGGGCGCCTGGGTGGCTCAGTTGGTTAAGCGACTGCCTTCGGCTCAGGTCATGATCCTGGAGTCCCGGGATCGAGTCCCACATCAGGCTCCCTGCTCGGCAGGGGGTCTGCTTCTCCCTCTGCCCTCTTCCCTCTCGTGCTCTGTCTCATTCTCTCTCTCTCTCTCAAATAAATAAATAAAATCTTTAAAAAAAAAAAAAAGACCCATCAAAAAAGGATCCAAAACTGTGTTCTCCTGTCCTGTCCCTTCCTTTCTAGTCTTCTCTTCCAGATTCCGTAAGGTGAAGGACGTGTACATATGAGATTGTTCAGAAGGGTAGTTCCACTGGGTGGTAACAGGAAGGTCTTGGCAGGGGAGGCATTGTGCTGGATTAGGGAGAGTTTGGGTGCCTAGGAGAGGGCTGCTTGTCACTTCAGAGAGTAGGTGGACTTGGAGATGTGTTGGCATCATGCTGCAGAAGTCCCCTGGGACCCAGTGGAATGGGGAAAAGCCAAAGAACACAGACTATCCCTGTTTTAGGGCTCTGTACAGGCTCGAGGACCCACCCACACACTGGAGGCATCCAGCATGCACATCCCCTCTCTCCTGGCAAGATGGTTTGTGCCCCCAAGGTAGAGCATTAGGGTAAGGAGTACTGATTTTAAGTGGCGGTTTCCTTAAAGGCTCCCAGGAGCACAGAGTTCCTTATTCCTCTGTTCCCATTTTTGTCTGGCAAGGGGCTAATGATGAAAACTCCCAGCAGGGAAATAGAAAGTTTGATAAATCAGGGCTTCAGATGCTCAGCAGAGAGCTGAGCCTCACGTACAGACGTGCTGAGATCTATGGACTCTGGGACCATATTTTGGCAAGGCCTCCTTCTCTGGGGAGATGATGGAGCCTGGGCTGGGGGATCCATACTCCAGTCTGAAGTGCATCTTCTTGCTTCTGTGAAGACTATGCCAGTGACTCTGATACCCATGGATCCACCTCTCAGCCAGCCCTTGACTTGGTATCATGGGCCTGCATCACATCTAGTGAGGATACAACTTTCCTTACCCCACCCATGGTGGGGTCACTGTCTTCATTTCTAGACTTCATTATCAATTTTACCCATGAATCTAGTGTCATCTGTCAACATACCCAAGGAAAGTATGAATTGTAATTATCTTCTGAATAGCCCATATTTTTAATACTCCTACATTATAAAAAATATTATCCAATATGGTCAGAGAAACAGTTCTGATCAAGCAGATGTTTTTGCCAATAGAAAGCAATTTAAAAAAAAAAAACATATTAAACATTTTAAACAAAAACTCTACAGAAGTGATGATTCCCAAACTACCAGCAATATCTTTACATTTATAAAGAGGAAGTGTCAGCTTTAGAATGTCCCCCTTCAAATAGGATTAATGAAAAACGACAGTTCTGGTCATCTCTGATCAGGCTATATCACATGTTTGGAGAACTCCAGGCAGAAATGGAATCAGTGGGAGTTGCAGCTAGCTGAATATAATGTTTATTATCTATAAATTCTTGTTACAAATACCACATTTTGTGAAACAAATTGTAAATGTTCAAATTTTTTTCTAATATTCAGTGATTTTTAAAAATAAGCATTCACCATTAAAGCATCTTTTTCTTTCCCAGTTAAAATTCTACACTATTTTATCTCAGCAATTTGGGTGCTTTACGGAAAAATAACAGTCAAGTAACAAATCCATCTCTCAGTTTAGTCAGAGGAGGTTACCTGAGTCAATAGGGTATTTAGTCAAGGGGGAAAGAAAAAGATGATAAGTAAAGATGGCACGTGACAAGGCTCAGCTGCAATTTTACTCCATCAGGAAGAAAATATCTCTCGCTCCCCCCCTCCCCCCGCCAAAGATGAGGCCAACAACAATGATGTGTCTAAGGCAAAAGATCGGCCAGGGGAGGGGGGTGGTGTAGCACAGAGAAGGCCTCTGGACACTCAAGTCAGGCTGCAGAGGGTCCTAGCCACTTACTGGCTGAGCAACCCCAAGCATGTTCCTTTAGCCATCTGTAAATTGAGGATAAGGATAATTTGTTGTGAGAATCAAATGAGATTAACACCCTGGCACAGTATGTGACACACAGGAAGTGCTCAAGAAGTGTGATCTATGAGAGAATGTTAGATATAAGGCAAACATTAGCTCCAAAGGACAGTTCAGGAGAGCACTTCCTTGTGAGCAAGGACCAGAGTAAATCACAGTAAGGACAGAGTAAACGAACATCTAGTATTCCAGTGAGGAGATGGAATTATGACAGGGAGTCAACGATTGGCTAGTGAAGCCTCGTCTACAGTTGATTTATTAGTATTCTCATTATTCATTGGCTTTCATCTAAATTCTCAACCACCTATGGCCACAGCTAGTTAATTTTTGTTTTAAAAAGTTTACATCCTATTTCTTAGTTGTAAGAGTCCTTGTTCACACTTTTTTACTATCTTGGTTTACATAATCCTAAAGGACTAAGCTTCTTGCAAAACTGTAAACTACTGTACCTGCCCTACTGTGGGCAGACTTTTCATTCAGCCCACAGAACCCAGCTGGATTTTACTTCTAACCCTCACCAGCCCTGCTCCTTGTCCCCCCAGTGTTACCCACCAGGTGTCCAAATAATTAGTGCCCCTCCATGAGGCAAGTCACATTCCGTGATAAGGATAGGACTCCTTGCTCAGCAATCTCAATGGGAAGAACACCTGAAGTTTGCAGAAAGTTTACCAACTGTGTACACTTTGAAGGCAGATATCGCAAGTCCACATTTTGATGCACTCATGACCCACTCGATGCCAGGCACTTATCTGGTATTTGCAGATTCATTATACCATTTAATCCTCAGATCAACCCAATGAATCCCAATCACTTTCCCCATATTTAAAATGAACATGTTGATACAGAGGGATGATAAAACATGCCCCAGGTCACACATCTAGGAATTGGCAGGCCAGAAGAGTTCATCAACAAAATACACTTCCGGGGCACCTGGGTGGCTCAGTCGTTAAGCGTCTGCCTTCAGCTCAGGTCATGATCCCAGGGTCCTGGGATCGAGCCCCGCATCGGGCTCCCTGCTCGGTGGGAAGCCTGCTTCTCCCTCTCCCATTCCCCCTGCTTGTGTTCCCTCTCTTGCTGTGTGTCTCTGTCAAATAAATAAATAAAACCTAAAAAAAAAAAATACACTTCCACTGTACATGTCCCATACCATTTTGACCCTCCGTGACCCATTATCCACGGAAAATGCCCAAGATGGATGCTGCACTTCCAACCTAGGGGGACGATGGGAGGCAATAGTAAGAGGAGTTCTGACTCCCCTCCTTGGCAGATACCCAATCTTAGGCAATTTAATAAACCTCTCTAAGCCTCTGCTATGTCCTCTTAAAACTGGGATCATAACAACACTGACTCTGGAGGGTGTTTGTGAGGGTTAAATAAGATAATGACTGGGAAATACTGAGCACATTGAAGAGCTCTATCAGAGCCATTATGATTCTGCACATTGGGTGGCAGGGCTCCTTGCTAGATTTGGGAAGGTGCACCAGACAGGCTGACGCTACCAAGTCAAGACATCAAGACTTAAGGACTTAAAATGTTCCAATTAGATATCCAGGCCATATCATGGTTCTATCACCCTGAGCTTTTGACCCTCCCCACACTAGTGCCATGGACACACTGAGTACCCACTTTTCCATTATTGCTCTATTACCAAAGCCCAGCCCTCTGCTTATCCTGAGGAGTGGCCCCCTCTACTCATCCTCGCCCTTTATTTAGCACACAAAGCTGCAGTTAGGGCTAGCAGTTAAAGAACCCAGTACTGGAATCCAGAAGAAAGGACAAAGGCAGCCCACAGATGCTAGGGCAGACTCCATTCCAGCCATTTCTTAGGAAAGAACAAAAGTCAACAGCACAGGCATTCACTCTAGAATACCAGGCCTGCTCCTCAGGTGGGTTCCTGCCTCCCTGGGATATGTGAACCCACAGAATAAATGTGACCCAACTAACTGCTGGAGAATTGGCTCTACCTACAGATTTGGGAATGCAATTAAATTAGTAAAGTGCTAATCTAAAATTTCAATTTTAGATTAAAAAATATATTATGGAATAGAATGCAGAATTTACATTAATTTAAAATAATAGGATTTTTAAAAATCATATTTATGGAGGTCTGATTCGGGTAGGACCCCATATCTCTAGGTGTTTTTCATGCTCACTTTCTTATGCCCTTTATGGAGAATATAATGGGGAAGTTGTCAGTTTTGGTTTTTTTTTTAATGGCACTCTTTAATGAAATTAAACCCATTTCTGCTGACAAAGTCCTATCCAGGACCTTAAAATCACATAAACTCATGTCTTGGAAGATGCAAGAATTTCGCTAACGGTTCCTCTTAATATTTAATCAAAGGGAAAGTTTTAAAAAGACATCCATCCTTAGATGGGTAATTGACCAATTTAAATATTTTATGAAATCACATTTTCACATAAAGTTGACAGTTTTCAATTCTGTATTACAGGATCTTGTCAACAGTTTTATTACAGCTGTGTTCCTTTTAATAGTTGCCATCTTGGCGATGCAAGAAATGGAAAGAAGGCACTTATTCTATGTTGGAGGGGTAAGTCGAAAACTTCGTGACCCCCTTTAAGATTAGTATTTCAGGGGAACCTGGGTGGCTCAGTCAGTTAAGGGTCCAACTCTTGGTTTCGGGTCAAGTTGTGATCTCAGGGTCATGGGATCGAGCCCCACATCGGTCTCAGTGCTTGGCGCAGAGTCGGCTTGAGATTCTCTTCCTCTCCCTCTGCCCCTCCCACTTGCTCTCTCTCTCAAATAAATAAATCTTTTTTTTAAAAAATCAGTATTTCAGGGCACTTGGGTGGCTCAGACGGTTAAGCGTCTGCCTTCGGCTCAGGTCATGGTCCCAGAGTCCTGGGATCGAGTCCCGCATCAGGCTCCCTGCTTCTTGGGAGCCTGCTTCTCCCTCTGCTTCTCTCTCTCTCTGTCTCTCATGAATAAATAAATAAAATCTTAAAAAAAAAATTATAAAAAAAAAATCAGTATTTCAAAACTCTTTTCAAAGGGAAACTAGCAGACCATCATCAAGATGTAAAGTTGCATAAACTCTAAACTCATGAAAATCTTCATTCTAATACTCATTCGCCAAATAGGTACAAACTCCCCTTTCGAGAAATGTACACACTATTTTTTGAAATGTTGCAACAAGGTGTTCTTGTCCATAAATAGGATTTTGACTCTTCTGGACTAGAGATTTATATTTTAAAAGCACATGAAAAGAAAAGCACATGAATAGGAAAAAAAAAAGTACATTGTCAAAAGTGAATGGCCCAGGAGGAAGGAAGGAAGAAAAGGAAGGAAGCTCCCAGCATGTGCCACACACATGGCCAGGCATGTTCTGACTTAATTTTTACAATTCTCATTTTTACAGATACGAGAACTGAGGTTAAATACTTTGCCTGGCTCACAAGCCTGGGACAAGCTCATCATATGAAGAGCACAAGAAATGGCAGATTAAATGCTTTGAAGATGGAGGGTGGGAAGTAGAGAGATGAGACTTTGGTTCAAGAAGTTAAGCAATGGGAACAAAAATTAATCAAAAAAAAAAAAGTTTGACTTCTTTGAAATCAGTAAATATTTGTCAATCCCATTGGATTGTGCCAGGCCCAGGCTTAGTGTTGGGGATAGAGTCCCTTATCCCTGTAGGAGCCCACAGATTAGCTGGGGCAAGACCTACCTAGGGAAAGTTCATTCAAGCATCCAGGGATTAAGTGATGGTGAAGAGAAACATCCAGAGCCAGCAGGATTTGGGAGGCACCTAGAATCTTGGGTGCTATGCACTGCTGGTCCCCATCTGCTAACTCAGACACCAAGCCTTCTCCTACCTGCCAGGGGCTCCCACCATCTGGACCCCATCAATTCTTACTTGGATGACAGGAGCCCCCACCACACCCCACTGGTGTCCCTGCCTCCTCCAGTCCTTTTCACCTCATGGCTTACTGCAAGTGGGCTTTCTGACTCTGGCACCTGATCTCTCCTTTCAATAAAGTCCCAAATTCTGCACTTCCTAGCCTCAACTCTGCCCCATCCCTCACCAGCTCCAGAGGTCTCAGCCACACCACACTCCTTGGAGACCCCTGTCCACGATCTGAAGTTCTCTCCCTCCCAGTTGGTCCCCTTGGGAACTCCTTCCTGCCCTTTTCAAACAAAGCCCAGGAGTCCTTCCTACTGAAGGGCCTTCTCAGGACCTCATACCTATCTGGAGCCTCCTACAGCCAATACTCTTCTCTGGTCCTTTCCTGGTGCCTCGGGCATCTGGCAAGGTCATTACTGGCAGCAAAACCCACCATTTCCAAAATCCCTTGCTCTGCGAATCGCAGAATGTGCCACAGCTGTCAGCTAGGCAGACACCAAATAGGCAGTGCTGGGTCAGAAGGGGACAAGCGGCCCCCTGCAGCCCCCTGTCCCCTGGGATGGGATAGGGAAGACAGGTTGCGGCTGAGCTGCAGAATAACCCGGGCTTTCCTTCCCGTGTCTTGTGTCTGACAGACCCAGTGTCTCACAGCGGCAATCGTGTGTATCCTGGATGGGATTATGGTCACCAAGAAGATAACGGATAAAATGAGAAGAATGCTGGGACTCGAATATGAAAGAAGTTCCTCCCTGCTCCCGGAACCCAAGAAGTCAGGACCCACGCCAGCGCCCGGGAAAGCGGGCACGCCGGGATCCTCCAAACCACCCACCTCGGCAGCCTCGAAACCACCCGTGGCGGCACCTGCGAAAGCACCCACACAGGCCCCCCCCTCGGCTGCCAGGCGCACCTCCTCCCGGGGATCCTCGAATGCATCCTCGAACGCATCCTCGCCGCCACCCTCGTGGACAGGAGCGTCTGTGCCTCGTCCCTCCCGCTAATCCCCCCACTGAGCTTGCATGCTGTCACCTATCCCGGCCCACGTGCGATCATAAAATCAGGGCTGCTAAATCGGGAACAGTTCTGCTTCCTCGTGTTGCCTTGTGTAAAAGTCGAGCTACCTGTTTTCGCGGCCGCTGCGCCTGGCGGGGCGCGGGACGACGCTGCCCCAGGGAGCCGTGGCCAGGGCCTTGACCCCGCGGGGGTTCCCGCCCACGCGACCGGCCCACGGCTGGGGGGGGGGCTGGGCGGCCCTGGAGGCAGCCGGCCCGGCACCCACTGGGGTCCTCGCGGTGCGACCGAGTCGCCCGGAGCCAGGTGAGGGGGCGCGAGGAGACGCGGCGCGCGGGGAAGCGCCGGGCGTTGGCGTTCGCCGGCTCCTGGCCGTTGGCTGAGCGGGACCTCTGGGCGGGTCGGTGGGCACCAGGCTCGCTCAGAGGCCAGGCCTGTCCGCGGACAGCAGGAGAGATCGGGCAGGCGGTGAGCAGCTAAGAACCCCCACGCAAAGACGGCTGACAAAGGCAAAAAGGGCAAAGCGGCGGCCCCGGCGGCCCCGCCCCCCGCAGCGGCGCCCCCGCCCCCTCCGCCGCCGCCGGTCCCCAAACCCCAAGACAAGAAAGACCAGGAGCCCAAGAAAAAGGAAAAGTCAGTGCAGCCCAAGGATGAAGTGGGCACGAGGAAGGGGTGTCGCCGCTACAAGTGGGAACTCAAGGACAGCAATAAAGAGTTTTGGGTTATGGGGCACGCTGAGGTCAAGATCCTGAGCTTGGTAAGTTGGTCGGGCACCCCTGGGCGGGGGCATGGGGGTCCAGCGATGGGAAGAGGGAGAAGGAGCAGGCTCCACAGGGGCTCCGGAAGGGCTGTAGAGCCAGTGAGAGCCCTCTGCCGTAGCTCAGGTGCATGTCTCCCAGCAGGGCTGCCTAATAGCTGCACTGGTAATGTTCACGGGGACCACCGTGCACCCTCTCCTGACACTCATCATCACCATGGAGTTGTCCGTCTTCTGCTTCTTCTTCATTATCTACACCTTCGCCATCAACAGATACATGCCCTTCATCCTGTGGCCTATTTCTGTAAGTGAGAGGAGGTGGGGAGTGCCTGCGGCTGGGGTGCATTCATGCGTGTGTCTTGGTACCTGGAAGTGACTGAACAGACAGACATGCGCCACCTTCTACATTAGTGCCCAGGGCATGGGCTCAGCACCTCAGGTGGGCCAGGGGAGGGGCAGCTGAAGTTAGGTAGAAAAGGCAGCTTGGGGGTTGGGGGCCAGGTGAACTTCTTACCTATCTGGTGGTCAAAGGAAGAGGTCTTTGCTTTCTGGAAGCTTTGCTCTCCATGGGAGCAGGGGCTGTATAGCAACCAGCTGTTCCTCCCACTTCTGTGCCAGCTCACACTTGAGTGTGGAGAGATCACCCCAGAACATACCCCATCCCCAGGATTCAAAGAAGAAAACCAATCTTCCAATAAATCAGTAAAATAAAATGAGAATTTTAAAGAAATCCCTTCTAAAGCAGTCTTGGATCTCCAGTGACTTTCCCTGTAAAGGATGTTAAGCATAGGGGCGCTGGGTGGCTCAGTCGGTGGAGCATCTAACTCTTGATTTCAGCTCAGGTCATGATCTCGGGGTTGTGAGATCGAGCCCCTGTAGCGCTCTACACTGGGCATGGAGCCTGCTTAAGATTCTCTCTCTCCTCCCTCTGCCCCTCCTCCATGCGCATGTTCTCTGTCTCTCTCTCTCAAAAAAAAAAAAAAAAAAAAAAAAAAAGGATGTTCAGCCCAAAGCAGTCATCCACTGGAACGGGAGTGGGGCACGCTACCCAAACACTTGTGCCCTCTGTTTCCTTCATCTGTAACATGAGGACAGTAATAACCTCTCATGCGATTGTGCCTGAGAAATAAATGCAAAGTGCTTGATGCTGTGCCTGAGGACTCAGGGCCTTGAATCCCTGGCCATCACCTGTGTGATCACAGAGTGCACCCACCTAACTTCCATCTCACTGCACATTCACAGTGTACCTCCAGGGCACTAAACTCAGGGTTTCACTCACCTTACATATGAAATGGTCTCAGGAGGGCCAAATCACGTACCCCCAGGTAACTCAGCTAGTAAGTGGCAGAAAAAGGATTCAAACCCAGCTTTGTCCGAAGATTCTGAGTCCCTAACTGCACTCAGTTCTGCTTCCTTATCAAAAGTGACTGGGGCCCAGGGATTCATAGGTCTCCGCAGTGTAAGTGAGGACTCCCAATATAGGGAGAAAGGAGAAGAGGACCAAATAAGACTCTTGGGAGAGGGATAAGCAGAGGACAAAGTAAAGGGAAAGCCAAGGAACTTGAGAAGATACTTTTAGTTCCAGCAAAATGAAGAATCAATAAACCCTGAAAATCCTCCTACTGCACCTATCTAAAACTACTAGGGAAAATGTAAACACAACTGCGGTAGCTGAATGAATGGCTGAGGTGGCAGGAAAAAAAAAAAAAAGGAGACACACAAGTGCCAGAAATGAAAAACAGGAGTGGGGCTCAGTCCGCTATTGGATTGTGGGTAGGACTGGCCCATGAAGTATTGCCCCCAGGAAGCAAGAGTGTGGATGTGCATACACTCTTCAGTTAGCGGAGGTGAGGTCTTGGTCCCGAGCAAGATGGGGATTCAGAACTGAGACCCCTGCATAAGCCAGCACCCTGCAAAGACAGGGAGAAGACAGGCAGAGAAGACAAAGGAACAAGAAGCCATGTTCACCTCTGTCTGAGCTTTGAGTGGGAAAAGAAAGAAAAGAAAAGAAAAGAAAAAAAAGAAAAGAAAGACCACCTTGAGAAATAGAAACCTTGGGCCTGAATTTTGTATGGACTTGGTTTGAATTGTTAACTACTTTCATCCTGGAAACCTTCATGCAGCCTAGAAAAATTGTGCCTGGGAATTAGCATAATATCGGATCCTAACTTAATCATGTTCTGACGATGTCCCTGGGACTCCTGACAGAAACAAATGCAAAGTCCCAGTCAAAGCATAAAGAGGTTCTCACAGGACAGGTGGGGGCAGAGGGCCTGCCAAGAATGAACTCACAGTCCAAAACTACAAGACACCTGATTTTAAAATCCCCATGTCCAAGAATCGAGAATCAGCAAACAAACAAATGGGAGGAGGGGCGCCTCGGTGGCTCAGTTGGTTAAGCGACTGCCTTCGGCTCAGGTCATGATCCTGGAGTCCCGGGATCGAGTCCCGCATCAGGCTTCCTGCTCGGCAGGGAGTCTGCTTCTCCCTCTGACCCTCCTCCCTCTCATGCTCTCTGTCTCTCATTCTCTCTGTCTCAAATAAATAAAAATTAAAAAAAAATTTTTTTTAAATCTTAAAAAAAAAATGGGAGGATTAAAACTCTGAGAATATGAGATTAATAGAAGAGCTGTCTGAAAATAATAAGAAATACACTTAAAATAATTAAAGATATAAACAGAGCCCTAAGAACAGAATAAGACAGTCTGAGGACAGAATAAAAAGATCCAGGAAATGAATACAATACCCTTCAAAATTGAAATTATCCTTCAAAAATTACTATTCAATGGGCACCTGGGTGGCCTAGTTGGTTAAGCGTCTGCCTTCAGTTCAGGTCATGATCATGGGGTCCTGGGATTGAGCCCCACATCAGGCACCCTGCTCAGTGGGGAGTCTGCTTCTCCCTCTCCTTCTGACCCTCCCCCTTGCTTGTGCTCTCACTCGCTCGCTCTCTCTCCCTCTCAAATGAATAAAAAATCTTTTTAAAAATCTTTTTTAAAAAATTACCATTGAAGGGGCACCTAGGTGGCTCAGTAAGTTGAACACCTGACTCTTGATTTCAGCTCAGGTCATGATCTCAGGATCATGAGACTGAGCCCCGCATTGGGCTCCACGCTCAGTGCGGAGTGTGCTTTTTTCTGTCTCTCTCTCCCTCTGTCCCTCTGCCCCTCCCCCTGCTCACACATGCGCTCTCTCTCAAATAAATAAATGAATCTTTTTAAAAAATTATCATTCAAGAGCTCGCTTCTGCAGCACATATACTAAAATTGGAACAATACAGAGAAGATGAGCATGGCCCCTGCACAAGGATGACACATAAATTCACAAAGCATTCCATATTTTTTTTAAAAAATTATCATTCAAAAATGAAGGAGAAATTAAGACATTCCTAGATAAAACAAAAGTTGAGGGAGTTTGTGGCTAGTAGACCTGCCCTACAAGAAATGCTAAAGAGAGTCCTTCGGGCTCAAATGAGAGGACACTAGACAGTAACTTGAAGCCATAAAAGAATAAAGAACACCAATAACAGTAACTACATAGGTAAATATAAAAGCCAGTATTATTGGGCGCCTGGGTGGCTCAGTTGGTTGAGCGACTGCCTTCGGCTCAGGTCATGATCCTGGAGTCCCGGGATCGAGTCCCGCATCGGGCTCCCTGCTCGGCGGGGAGTCTGCTTCTCCCTCTGACCCTCCCCCCTCTCATGCTCTCTCTAGCTCATTCTCTCTCAAATAAATGAATAAAATCTTAAAAAAAAAAAAAAAGAATTGGGGTTTTAAAAAATATATTAATAGTTTGGGGAGGTGGGGAGAGAACACTGAAACAAGGTAGAACTGAAGCAGCAGCAACATGGTAACAGGTTAAGACCACGGTAGTGGTGTATGATAAGAATTAAAAGTCATTGATTTGGAAGGACATTTGGTAATAATGTTAACACTAACATATTAAAACATAATTCTGTATTCTGCTAAAGAATAGAATTCCCGGGTATATAACATCAAACCTATTGAGGGGAAAGAGTGGAAAGAGAATAGAGTTAATTCATAGAAGGGAAAAGGGGGCAGGGGGAATGTGGCATATGTTAAATAGAAAAAATAAAATGGCAGAAATAAATCCAAATATATCAGACATGGTGACAAATATAAATGGACTATATTCTTCACTTAAAAGACAGAGGACTCTAAGAATAGATATTTTTTAATCCAGCTATAAGAGATGGAAAAAATAATAAAAGGAAAATACTAACTAAAAGCCAATTTTATGTTTTTTTTAAGTTTATAAAGATCACCACGTATAGTAATTCTGAACTTGTATGTACCCAACAAGATAGCCCCCAAATATAAAAAAACAAAAATGAACTTATTTATAAGGAAGAACAACAACATGCTGCAAACAGCAACCATAGTGGTAGAATAACATGCCTCCTTCAGCAATTGATAGCCAATCCAATGACATACCTAGAACATATGGAACCCTATACCCAACAGAACGGGCTATATATTCTTTTCAAGTACACTTGGAACAATCATAAAAATTAACCTCAGGGTGCCTGGGTGGCTCAGTTGGTTAAATGTCCAACTCTTGATTTTCACTCAGGATGTGATCTCAGGCTCCTGAGGTCAAGCCCCAGGTTGGGCTCTGCACTCAGCGGGGAATCTGCTTGAGACGCTCTCCCTCCCCCTCTCCCTCTGCCCCTTCCCCTGCTCATGCTCTCTCTCTCAAATAAGTAAATAAATCTTTAAAAAAAATTATCCTCAGGGCACCTGGGTGGGTCAGTCGGTTGGCTGTCTGCCTTTGGCTCAGGTCATAATCCCATGGTCCTGGGATGGAGCCCTGCATTGGGCTCTCTACTCAGCGGGAAGTCTGCTTCTCTCTCTTCCTTTGTGCACTCTCTCTCAAATAAATAAAATCTTAAAAAATTATCCTCAATAACATCACAAAGTAAATGTAGATAAATAACAAATAAGTGATTATCATACAGAACATATTCTCTAATTTCAACGTAATATAATTAGAAATCAATCAGTAAAATTTAACTCAATCCCCAAGTGTTTGGGGGCAATCTAGTGTGTTCCCCAAACATATGAGGATTTAGTATCTATGTAGTATTCACAGATACTATCTGTAGAATGTCCCTAAACTATTCAAATTCAAATCTATATAATTAGAAAAGACTGAAAATTAATAGTCGTAAGAAGGTACCAGAACAAAATAAAACAATGGAATTAAGAAGAAGGCAATGCCAAAGATAAGAGCTAAAACTAATAAAATAGGAAACAAAGATCCATAGTGAGGACTAATAAAACAAAATATCTAGTTCTTTGAAAAAGACTAATAAAGTAGGTGGATCCCAAGGGGGGGGAAAAAAAGAGAATGAACAAAGAAAAATATTAGTATAAAGATCAAAAAGAGGGCACCTGGGTGGCTCAGTTGGTTAAGCATCTGCCTTCCGCTCAAGTCATGATCCCCGGGATTGGGTCCCACATCGGGATCCCTGCTCCACAGGGAGTCTGCTTCTCCTTCTCCCTCTGCCCCTCCCCCACTGCTTGTGCTCAAGCTCTCTCTCCCTCACTCTCAAATAAATAAAATCTTAAAAAAAAAAAAAAAAGATCAAGAAGAGATTTTTAAAGATTACAGGGAAAATGTGAATTTTTATGCCCATAAATTGGAAAGTTTAGATAATAATTTCCTGTAAAAAATATAACATAAAATTGACTCAAAAAGAAATAGAAAAACAAGTTATAAAAAATTCATCCATGTTTCCATGTGGCACTGGTTTCACTTTTTACATTTAAATCTTTTGGTTAATTTGGAGTCATTCTGGAAGCCTGGGTGGCTCAGTTGTTTAAGCAACTGCCTTCGGCTCAGGTCATGATCCTGGAGTCCTGGGATTGAGTCCCACATCAGGCTCCCTGCTCAGCAAGGGGTCTGCTTCTCCCTCTGATCCTCCCCCCGCTCATGCTCTCTCTCTCATTCTCTCTCTCTCTCAAATAAATAATAAAATCTTTTAAAAAAACTAATTTGGAGTCATTTTGGTATATGGTATGAACCATGACTTCAGCTTTATATCCTTTTTTTTCTTTAAGAGAGAGAGGGCATACACGTGAGTGGGTGGGTGTGTGGGGAAGGGGGGCAAAGGGAGAGGGTGAGAGAGAATCTTAAGCAGAGTGCAGAGCCCGATGTGGGGCTCAATCTCACAACCCCAAGATCATGAGCTGACCTGAAATCAAGAGTCAGTTAACCAACTCAGCCACCAAGGTGCCCCTCTAGCTTTATATCCTGATGACTATCCAGTTGTTCTACCTTATCACTCAATTTATTCATTTATTAAATAGTGTATCTTTTCCCCACTGATTTTATATTTTTTAAGATTTTATTTATTTGGGAGAGAGAGTGCATGCGAGAGAGAGAATGAGAGAGCATGAGTGGGGGGAGGCTCAAGGGGAAGGGAGTAGAAGTAGCCTCCCCATTGAGCAAGGAGCCTGACATGGGGGTCAATCCCAGAACCCTGGGATCATGACCTGAGCCAGAGGCAGATGCTTAACTGACTGAGCCAACCAGGTGATCCCACCACTGATTTTTTTTTTTTAAAGATTTTATTTATTTATCTGACAGAAAGACAGTGAGAGAGGGAACACAAGCAGGGGGAGTGGGAGAGGGAGAAGCAGGCTTCCCGCTGAGTAGGGAGCCCAACGCAGAGCTCAATCCCAGGAACCTGGGATCATGACCGGAGCCAAAGGCAGACGCTTAACGACTGAGCCACCCAGGCACCCCTCTCCCCGCTGATTTTAATTGGCATTTTTGTTAAATGTTAAAATCCCAGATGCAGGCTTTATTTCTAGACTATACATTCAGTTTCATTGGTCTGTCCCTTTTTTCTTCTCTCTTTTTAAAGGCCTGATAATATGCTGTATTATCTAGTAGGCTTTTGATCTTAAAACCAGACATTATAAGGAAAGTAAAGTATATATAGTATAGTATATATAGCTTATCTGAATGTGGCTATAAGAATCCTCAATAAAATATAAGCAAACTGAATCAAGGGATACATAAAGAAGCAATACATCATGATCAAGCGGAGTATGTGTCAGGAATGCAAAGATGGTTTAATCTGCAAAATTCTATTAATTTACAATCTTGAATCTAAAGGAGAAAACCATGTCATCTCACGAGCTTCAGAAAAACTAGTAATATTCAATACTAATTTTTAGGAAACTCTCAGCAAACTACTTTAAAAGAGAACATCCTTATCTTAATAAGTACCTACCCAAACCAACAATAACCATTGTGTTTCATGGTAAAACTTTGGAAACATTTCCTTAGCAATGCCGACTATCCATCCTTCTGTACAGCACTGTGCTGGAGATCTTAAATTAGTCACAACGTAACAAGAAAAAAAGTGAATGAATTGGGAAGGGGAAAAAAAACTAGAATCATTCACAGATAATATGATTCTCCACATAGAAAATCTAGAAGAATCTACAGTGAAATTACCAGAACTGCTTGAGTGCCACAGGGCAACCAGAGACCCACACGGTATCATTCCAGAATACCAGCAACGAACAATGAGAAAATGTGACTTCTCAAAGAAACCATTTAAAACAGCAACAGAAACCAGAAGAAACTTAGAATAAACCTGTTCAAAGATGTGTAAGACTTTACACAGAGATCATAATTTATTAATAGACATAAAAGAAAACTCTACATAAATGGAAAAATACACCACATTCACAGATCTGAAGAACTGTTATCATAAAGATGATATCCGTTTATTCCACAGTAATCCGTAAATTAAGTAGAAATTTCAACCTGACAGAGGTTGTTTCTGGAACTTTACAAGGTGATTCTAAAATTCTGACAGGGATGGACTCATCTAACAAGATATTGGAATTACTGTAAAGCTTTGGTATTAGCTCAGGGATTACAAAAAGACTAATGGAATTGTTATGGTCTGAATGTGTACCCCCAAAATTCATAGGCTGAAATCTAACCTCCAGAGTGACTAAGCTTGCAGATGGGGCCTCTAGAGTAGTACTTAAGATGAAATGAAATCATAAGAGTGGGACCCTGATCCAATAGGATTAGTATCCCTATAAGAAAAGACAACAGAGAGCTCTCTCCTCCCTCCCTCTCCCCCTGCCTCCTCCCCATGCCACTGAGCACACCATGGAAAGGCCATGTGGGGACATAGCAAGAAGGCAGCCATCTGCAAACCAGGAAGAGAGCCCTCACCAGAAACTGAATATGCTGGCACCTTGATCGTGGACCTCCAGCCTCCAGAACAATGAGAAAATAAATGTCTGTTGTCTAAGCCACCCAGTCTGCTAAGGTCACCTGAGAAAACGAATACAGGAATAAAAAGAGAACTCAGAAACAAACCTACATACATATGGCAACTTGGTATATAACAGAGGTGGTGTTATAAACCAACTGAACTGAATATTTAGTAAATGTTCTTGGGAATGTGTGTGTGAGCAAGAGAGAGAGGGAGAAACTATGTATCACGTTAAAATTAAAACTTTACAACAGAAGCCATCATAAAGAAAATTTTTAAAACCAATAGAAAAATGAGATCAGGGATATGATGATATCTTTTATTTCTTCTTGTCTGACTGCCCTACCCAGGATTTCCCACTCTGTTGAAGAGGATTGGTAAGAGGGGGCACCCTTGTTTTGTTCCTGATCTTAGAGGAAAAGTTTTCAACCTTTTGCCATTGAATATGATGTTAGCTGTGGGCTTGTCATGTATGGTCTTTATTATGTTGACATATGTTCCTTTTATGCCTAATTTGTTAAAGAGTTTTTATCATGGATGGATATTGAATTTTGTCAAATGTTTTTTTCTTTGTCTATTAAGGTGATCACATGATTCTTTTCTCTCATTGTGCTAATGTGACCTACCACATTGATTGATTTGCATATGTTTAAAACATCCCTGCATCCCAAGGATAAATGCTACTAGATCATGGTGAATGATCCTTTTAATGTGCTGCTAAATTTGGTTTGCTGGCATTTTACTGAGATTTTTCATATTACTATCCATCAGGGATTGGCCTGAAATTTTCTTTTCCGGTAGTGTCCTTTTCTGGTTTTGGTATTAGGAAAACGATGGCTTTATAAAATGAGTTTGGGAGTGGTTCCCTCCTCTTCGATTTTTTGGAAGAGCCTGAGGATTGGTGTTAATTCTCCTTTAGATGTTTGGTAAAATTCACCAGTAAAGCCATCTAGTTCTGGGCTTTTCTTCATTAGGAGATTTTCTTTCTTTCTTTTTTTTTTTAGGATTCTACCCATTTATTTGACAGAGAGAGAGACAGCGAGAGAGGGAACACAAGCAGGGGGAGTGGGAGAGGGAGAAGCAGGCTTCCTGCCGAGCAGGGAGCCCGATGCAGGGCTCGATCCCAGGACCCTGGGATCACGACCCGAGCCGAAGGCAGCCGCCAACGACTGAGCCACTCAGGCGCCCCAGGAGATTTTCTTTTTAAGATTTTATTTATTTGTGAGAGAGAGAACACTAGCAGGGGGAGCGGCAGGCAGAGAGAGAGGGAGAAGCAGGCTCCCCTCTGAGCAAGGAGCCCGATGCAGGACTCGATCCCAGGACCCCAGGATCATGACCTGGGCTGAAGGCAGACGCTTAACCGACTAAGTCACCCAGGTGCCCCTGGGAGATTTTCGATTACTGATTCATACCAGGAGGAAATATGCACAGAAGACACAGACAAGCGTGTTCACCACAGCAGAGTTTGTAATAATAATTTCCTAAAAGGTAGAAACAACCTAATGTCTCTGGTTTGGTTTATTCATAGCATACATCAGTTAAAATTTATGAATTCAATATGTATTTCTCAAAATTGATAAATCTCACAAACTTTGTTAAGTTTAAAAAGCCAATACTGGGGGTGGGGGGGGTGCCCGGTGGCTCAGTTGGTTAAGCATCTGGTCATGATCACAGCGTCCTGGGATAAGACTGGCATCCGGCTCCCTGCTCAGCAGGGAGTCTCCTTCTCCCTCCCCCTGCTCTTGTGCTTTCTCTCTCTGTCTCTCTCTCCCTCTCAAATAAATAAATAAAGTCTTTAAAAACAAAAACAAAAACAATGCTGGGACACCTGGGTAGCTCAGTCAGTTAAGGAATTGACTCGATTTCAGCTCAGGTCATGATCCCAGGGTTGCAAGATCAAGCCCCATGTCAGGCTCCGCGCTCAGCACAGAGTCTGCTTGAGATTCTCTCCCTCTTCTCCCTTCCTGCCCCCCTCCCCATGCATGCACATGCGCTCTCTAAATAAATAAAAAATAAAAGATTTTTTTAAAAAAGCCAATGCTAGAAGATATCTTTTATTTAAATTTAAATTTGTGAAACACATAAAATAGTATATACTGTTTGTGAATATATAATATGGAGGAAAATATGAATACACTCTTGGGAAAAGTACCCATTAGCTCCAACGTGTGTGGCTGCCTCTGAGCGACAGGCATGAAAGGGCTAGAGTGGTGACCCTGTGGCTCCACAAAGTTTTACTTCTGGCTTTTTTTTTTTTTAGTGCTCTAAGCAAATATTGCAAGATGTTAACATCTGTTCAATCTCAGTGGTTCATGGCTGCTGGAGGTGGGAGTGGGGATAGTATGTTTGAAATGTATTAAAATTCAAAACCCTGAAAAAGAAAAGAAAAGGCCCACAACAAGTAGCCAGGGAAGGACAATTAACAGAAAAACAGCATCGTGGAAACCAAGGGGAAGGGTGGGCCTCGTCCAGGGCTGCCGAGTTGGCTGTTGCCCACATGATGAAGACGGTGCACAGACTCTCGGCTACCATCACCACACGAGTGATGGCGGAGGAAGCCGGCTTGCAAGGGCCATGCTTTGGCCAACTCTAAGCTTGGCTACGCCGGGAAGTGGCCGTGCATGGTACCTGCAGGGAAAGCAGCCCTCTGCCCAAGCTGGAAACATCTGGACATTTTTAGGAAGGTAAAGGAAGTAAGTATAGGGCAAGGTTAAGATTGGGGCCAGAAGGGATAGAAAGGAAGGCTGATGATGGAGGAGGTGGTGTGGCCTTGCAAAGAAGAGAGTGTCTAGGAAGTAAGGCAGGAGGGGGGTGGGGGCAGGGGTGGAGGAGGCAGCTGCCAGGCTCCCAAGCAGAGAGGCCAGAATCCAACAGACCCTCCTGCCAGCGATACAGCCCACTCTGGATCCAGAGAGGGGAGCTGGCCCTGAGAGCAGAAAGATGATGGAGGGTTGTACTCACCATTAAGTTGAACAGATGTGCATTTACTTAAATGAGTATTGGAGGGAAAAAAAAAGAAAGAAAGAAATAACTAGCCACTAAATGTGTGATTTCAGAGGAGATGGCAGCAGAGGGGGCCCATGAAGGCAGTTAAGCAGCCTGAGCTTTGGGTCTCAACACAAAGAGCCCAGCCCTGGGGACCAGAGCATGTCCACCCAGCTGATGTATATTTATCTTCACATATATATTTTTAAAATTAGGCAGAAGTTTGGGGCGCCTGGGTGGCTCAGTCATTAAGCATCTGCCTTCGGCTCAGGTCATGATCCCAGGGTCCTGGGATCAAGCCCCGCATCGGGCTCCCTACTCGGCGGGAAGCCTGCTTCTCCCTCTCCCACTCCCCCTGCTTGTGTTCCCTCTCTTGTTGTGTCTCTCTCTGTCAAATAAATAAATAAAATCTTAAAAAACAAAACAAAACAAAAATAGGCAGAAGTTTGGAAACCATCCCCTCTGGAGGAAGCGATGCCAGGCTGGGTGTTGATGGGGGTTTGGTTCTGGTTGAGACTGACTCTCCCATCTCCCACGCTTTCAGGACCTTCTCAATGACCTGTTCGCCTTCATCTTCCTTGTGGGGGCTGTAGTCATAGCTGTGAGAAGCCGACAGACCATGCCCATGCACTACTTCATTGCTGTGGTGAGTCTTTCGTGTTGGGAACTCCAGAAATCACCTCTTCTGGAGAATGGGTGTTTTCCCCTGACTTAAGGAAAGGACTTCTTTTCTTTTCACAAAATCTTGGGACCCGTGCAAAGTTTAAAAGTAAAGCTGGTCAATGTTTCCAAAGAAGAAGCCACTTAAATAAAGATGCCGTCCAGGGAGCCAGCTGAGCTAAGGGCTTCCTCCTCCTAGCTGCCTTGATCCCCAAGCCAATGGGCCACACCCAGGCTGGGTTTTAAGAGAGGGATGCTGAGGTTGGGGGAGGGGCAAAATCGGAGTGTCTCCGGGGGAACCAAGGGATGTGTTAACCAGCACCTGCTGACTAATTAGAAACAAGGAGAGACTATGCCTGCTTTGGAATGAAAAGCAAAAGTTCCTTCTTCTGTTTTCTAGATCCTTATTGGCGTGGCTGGACTTTTCGCCTTAATCGATGTGTGTCTTCAAAGAAAACATTTCAAAGGCAAGAGAGTCAGAAGGAATGCGCTGATTCCCCCTGCAGGAAAGGAGCAAAAGTTTGAAAAGCCAAAGGAAGGAGAAAAGCCACCGGAAAATGTACCAGAAAAGGCACCAGAAAAGGCAGGAGAAAAGCCCAAGGATAAAGGAAAGGGAGGCAAGAAATGACAGGAAGGAGTGACAGCGTGTTTTACTACAAAACATATGTCCACTGTCTGTCTTTTCTTCTCTCTAGAATGGTTTTTTCCTTTCCATCCCAATAACCACCTTTGCTTGGAAAAGAAATTCCTCTTTAAATGGATTTTAAAGCTTAAAGTTGACGTAAACATTATTTTGTTCATTCAACAAAAGGTACTGAGTGTTTTGGTGCAGAGGGCAAGATCAGAGCTGGGCCTCTTGGGGCACCTGCCTACCACAGGGCACACGAGGTTTGGGGGACCAGCAGTGTGGGCGACACTGGCTGTCAACAGTGATCAGCCAAAAGGGCCAGAGGAGAACAAGAGACTGCCAAACAAAATGAACATTTTGTTCATAGTGATATTTGTATTTTCTATTTTTTTTTTTTTTAAGCATCCAGGTAGTCCCTATGAGAAAAATCGGCTGTTGGCCTTCCTTACTCTTACTTTGCAGTTTAGCCTTGGTCCTCATGTGAGGTGCACTTAGGAGGAGGGCAAAGAGGTGGTGTCATCCCCTCAGGGTTCAGGGCCTCCAAGAGCCAGTCAGGCTGGCACATGGGCAAGGCAGGATGGGCACAGGAAGAACCGAGGGGACTCCAGCCAGCCCTCTGGGACCTGCAGTGTCTCCCTCAGTGAGGACCTGAGCATAAGCCCTGAGCCAGGCTCAGCTGGGCCCTGGAGCCACGGTTCCCGCCCAAGTGACAGGGTCCACCTCTGCCGGGAGAGCACATACTCGGCTGCTACAGAGCAGCAAGTGAGGCTGGCAAGAGGCTGCAGCCTGGTGGTCGGCGGTTGGGCGGGCGGGGAGCCCATGCAGGCTGGGCAGGATGACGCATAACCCTACCGAAAGTGGGAGCAACCAGAGGGGGAGGTACCTTGAACTCAAAAGTGCAGCCTATCCTGCCATGTGACCCGAAATTCCTCTCCTAGGTATTGAGCCAAGAGGAATGGTGTATTAGAATGTTCATAATAGCCAAAAGGTAAAAAAGAGCCTAAATGTTCAAAAGGAGATGAATTAAACTGTGCTACGTTCACAAAATGGAATACTACTCAGCAATGAAAAAGAATAATGATACAACATGATGATGAATAATGATAAAAATAAAAGATTCACAACGACGACTCTCACATCATATTGAGTGAAAGAAGGCACACACAAGAGAAGGACATACCCTATGATTCTATTTCTAAGAAGTTCAAGAACAGAGAAAAATACAGTGAAAGAAATGGACACACTATTTGCTTCAAGAGGAGTTTGAGGACTGACTACAAAGGGGCGTGAGGGTATGAGAAAGTTCTTTATTTTCACTGGGGGAAGTAGTCACAGGTATATACGTCTGTCCAAGCATTCAATTGTATACTCAACACCTGTGTATTTCATCATATGTAAATTTGATCTAAAAATGTAAGCACAACAGAACTGTGTTCAGAATTTCATGGAACAGGGTAGACCTTGCTGAACTCCTCTGTGTGGCCATCCCTCTCAATCCCTGGAGGCGGCTCTCGGAGCAGGCAGTTCCCCACATCCAGACAGAGAAGGCATGCAGTGGGCCTGGGCTGGGGCTGGAACATAACGATGCAGCCACCTGTCATGCTGAGCCAGGAACCCTGGGACAGGGCTGTGGTCATCAGAGACTTCAGGAAGATGCCCCTTTGGAGCAAAACTACATCAGGTGAGTATCTGCTAGGAATAGGGAATGTATCACCTATGGATCTGGTCAAAATGCAGATTCTGAAAAATCCTAACTAGTACATTCAGAGTAAAGATGGATACTGTGTGCCTAAAACAAAAATCGTAAAGAAGACAATAAGCTAACAACAGTTCTTAATGGGGAGGGGTTGGTGGGATTATGAAAAAGATTTTAAAATTTAACAGGAGAGTTAACTAATAGAATGGACAGTTAGTGTTATGGAAAATAAAGTCCACATTGCTTGGTAAAATACAGGAACTTGAAAGATAAAGAGAAAATTCCCAAAGCTTTCAGAGCAAGAGAAACAGCACAAAGATGTTACTGACATGAGAACAAAACCAAACATCAAAGGCTACCTGGATATTAGAAGACAACAAGGCAGGGGCACCTGGATGACACAGGTGGTTGAGCATCCTACTCTTGGTTTCAGCTCAGGTCATGATCTCAGGATCCTGAGATTGAGCCCCACATCGCGCTCCATGCTGACTCTCCCTCTGCACCCCCCCCAAAACAAAAACATCTTTTTTTTAAAAGGGTGGGGAGTGCCGGGGTGGTGCAGTTGGTTGAATGATCAACTCTTGGTTTCGGCTCGGGTCATGATCTCAGGGTCATAAGATCGAGCCCTACACTGGGCTCCACGCCAAGCGTGAAGCCTACTTAAAAAAAATAAAAAATAAAAATAAAATTAAGGGGGGGCGCCTGGGTGGTTCATTTGGCTAAGCGCTGCCTTCGGCTCAGGTCATGATCCCAGGCTCCTGGGATCTAGCCCTGCGTCGGGCTCCCTGCTCAGCAGAGAGCCTGCTTCTCCTCTCCCTCTGCCTGCCACTCTGCCTATTTGTGCTCTCTCTATATATCTTTGTCAAATGAATAAAAATTTTAAAAATCTTTTAGAAATTTTAAATTAAATTAAGGTTAAATGAGGTCATAAGGTTAATTGGTTTTCTTCTCTCTGTATCAGAAGCAGTGGTGGGAAGTAGGAAACTGAGTAGAGAAACGAAACAAGCTTTGTAGACAGAAGACCCCTCAGAACTTGAAAGTGTCAAGGAGACCATGAAAAGGAAAGATCTCAAGAGAAAGATCACATTAAGCTGTATATGAACTCTTGGGACCACCCCCAAGCAGTGGATGCATGGATTTCACCCTAGACAGCAGATCAAAGGCCTGGAGAAGTAAACCACAGGGAAGGCCATGACACAGGTCTCAGACTGGAAACTCAGGCACACACAGAACAGATCAGAATAGCACTGCAACAACAACGGACAGGACATCTGGACAGAATGTCAGTAAGGATATAGAAGACTTGAACAATACTATAAACCATCTACTCCTAACAGATATATGTTGAACATTACCCCAACAACAGCAGAATACTCATGCTTCACAAGTGCATATGAAAGCGTCTGTAAGATAGACCAGGTGTTAGGACACAAACCAAGCCTCAATAGATTTAAAAACACTGAAATCATACAAATTATCTACTTTGATCATAATGGAATGAAGCTAAAAATGAATAACAGAAGGAAAACTGGAAAACTGACAAATATGTGGAAAACAACCAATGGGTCAAAGAAGAAAACAGAAAAAGAAATTAGAAAATACCTACAGATGAATGAAACTAAAATACAACATACTAAAACTTATGAGATGCAGCAAAGGCAGTGCTCAGAGAGAAATTTACAGGTGTAAATGCCTACATTTAAAAGGAAGAAAGATCTCAAACCATAACCTAACTTTACATCTTGATGAACCAGTAAAAGACCAAACTAAACCCAGAGATAGAGGAAAGGAAACAACAGAGATTAAAGCTAAGATAAATAAAACACAGAGTAGAAAAACAATAATCAACAAATCCAAAAGTTGGTTCTTTGGAGGTATCAACAAGATCAACAAACTTTTACCTAATGACAAAAAAAAAAAAAAAAAGACTAAAGTCAGAATTGAAAGTGAGGACATTATACTAATGATAGAGAAATAAAAAGAATTACAAGATAATTCTACAATAGTTGTATGCCAAAAAATTAGATGAAAAGACATACACACAAGAAACACACGATTTACCTAAATTGACTCAAGAAGAAATAGACAATCTCAACAGATCTATAAAAGATCAAAATAGTAACGAAAAACATCCCAACAAATAAAAGTTCAGTACCACCAAACATTTAAAGAATTACCAACCCATCTCAAACTCTCCCAAAAAACAAAAGACAAAGGAACACTTTCTAACTCATTTTATGGAGCCAGCATTACAAAAGATACCAAAGCTAGATAAAGATATCACAAAAAAAGAAAACTATATCCTAGTATTTGTTATGACTATAGATGTAAAAATTCTCAACAAAATTTAGCAAACCAACTCTAACAGGACATCAAACTTATTATACACTATGACCAAGTGGGATTTACCCCAGAATACTACTGCAAAGTTTTTGAAAACTGAACTGAGGGGGCAACTGGGTGGCTCAGTCATTAAGTGTCTGCCTTCCACTTAGGTCATGATCCCAGGATCCTGGGATCAAGCCCCACGTCAGGCTCCCTGCTCAGCAGGAAGCCCGCTTCTCCCTCTCCCACTCCCCTTGCTTGTGTTCCCTCTCTCACTGTCTCTCTCTCTCTCTCTGTCAAATAAATAAGATCTTAAAAAAAAAAAAATTTACTAAAAAGAAAAAAAAAGAAAAGTGAACTGAGGGGCGTCTGGGTGGCTCAGTTGGTTAAGTGTCTGCCTTCAACTCAGGTCCTGGAGTCCTGACATTGAGCCCCACATCAGTCTCCCTGCTCAGTGAGGAGTCTGCTTCTCCCTCTGCCCCTCCCCGCTGCTTGTGCGCTCTCTCTCTCTCTCTCTCTCTCACTCTCTTCTTTCAAATAAATAAATAAAATCTTTAGAAAATTGTTTAAAAAAAAAGAAAACTGAACTGACATTGGATCCACAGTTCAGTGGTGGTAGGATATTGTGGCCTAAATCTAACCAGTTGATTGCCTGCTTAAAAATAAAAAACAGGGATGCCTGGGTGGCTCAGTCGTTAAGTGTCTGCCTTCGGCTCAGGTCATGATCCCAGGGTCCTGGGATCGAGTCCCACATCGGCCTCCCTGCTCGGTGGGAAGCCTGCTTCTCCATCTCCCACACCCTCTGTTGTGTTCCCTCTCTCTCTGTCTCTCTCTCTGTCAAAAAATAAATAAAATCTTAAAAAAAATAAATTAATTAAAATAAAAATAAAAAACAAAACAAAACCCAATGATCTCTATAGGAATTAAACAAATCCAGAGTTCATAGCATAATATGAAAAATGTCCAAGATAAAATCAAT